GAGTCAGTCATACAGCACCTTCCTAAGGTTAGTACTGGATTAGTAACGTGAACCCTGGTAATATCCTTCTGATTCCCTTTTTCATTGCTAACTCCTCAAGTGTGAGGCAAAACTGGAGCAACACGTAAGGTCACAGCTGGTTCTCCCAGGAATCATGCCTGCAGTTCCTGGTGATGGTAGGGTGCTGTAAATGAAAAGAAAAGCACCCCCCTATCCAGCAAGACCAATTCATTGAACAAGTACATGAGAACCTACCTGCCTGGACCTTGATTTCTAGTGGGCAAAAGGGACAAAGTAAAGACATGTATTATAAAGCACATTAGAAGATGATTGATTTGCCAGGCATTGTGGTGCATATCTGTAATCCCAGCAACTCAGGAGACTGAGGAGGGAGGACCACAAGTTCAAAGTCAGCCTCAGCAACTTTGCAAGGCCCTAAGCAACTTAGTAAGACCCTTTCTCAAAATAAAAAAGGCTGGGGGTGTGTGTGGCTCAGTGGTTCAGTGGTTAAGCACCCCTGGGTTCAATCCTTGGTACTAGGAACCAAAAAAAAAAAGGTGAGGAACATGGGATGATGTAAGTTACAGTATTTACTAAGAGGTCACAGTAGGCTAAGAGAAGGGGACACTGCATCAAGAAGGTGAGGAGGCTGGGGAAAAGCATTCCAGACACAGGGACAACATAGACAAAAGCTGCTTATTTCTAATTTATTACTATAAAAACTACACCATAGGATGCAGTTCTAGCTTTTAGGATTAAAAACAACACAAACCTAAGGATGGCTGGCTATTTTGGCTATGCAAACCCTTCCTTGCCGCCGCCCCTCCCCCCAACACACTTTCATCTCAGGACAGCAGTGTGAAAGGGGCATAATGCTGACTTCCTAAGAATTTCAAACTCTCTGCTCAAGGCAGAGGAGGGACAGAGCACTTCACCTGGTGACTCCTGTAGAGATGACAGGAGTCGTAAACAGCATGTCTTCTTTGCTGGTTTTCCTCATGAGGAGAGGTTTTTGAGAAACATGGAACACTCTGGGCACAATCTCTGTAACTAGCACAGCACACACATTTTGAGATGTGTGTATATATATATTATATATATACACACACACATATACCAGCACAAAATGCACCAGTAATAACTAATGAAATCTAATGACACACAAATAATACATTTCAATGATACACTTCATGTGTTCTTGCTTCTCTTTTCTGGGAGTAGAGAGCTATCTTCATAAATCACATTTGCTAACAACGGCAGAAGGCAAAACACTGCATCAGTGAAGCTGTGCCTTTTGGAGCAGGTGGTATACTGCGTCCCTACCCACCTCCCACCTTGCCTAGAGGATGTGCATACAGTAGATAGATCTTTCCACTGTCCTTCATAGCTTTTCATTACTTTTTTGATGTTCAAATCAAGCCTGGCTGTCAAACAGAAACGCTGTTGTCAGGTAAGTAATGAGCCATTCACATAAGGTATGCACTAATAAAAATTTAATATCATAAACAAACCAGAAAACAGCATTTTTTWAAAAACCATTCACAATTAAAATGGAAAGAGACAAAATTATAAGGCAGCCATCCATGGAATGATTTCATGTGTACAAAGGATCCAGAAAAAGGGATATTTAAAATCTCTGTTTAGGCCACCGAACCAGGGGAACTGCAGTGTTATCCCATGAGACTTCCAGCTTGCAGAAGATGCCACCAGACAAAAATCAAAGCCAATCTCCCTGTGTTAAGCAACTGTGTTAGGCTAAGCATATCTAGAGAATTCCTAAGTGGTTGGCTAGTCTTTTCCCACAAGTCACAAGTCTTTTTCAGAGCTCCTGAGGTGATTCTGAGATATCTCAGGTACAAAGAGGTTACATCATTGGTTTTAATTTCATAGCATCTCCAAGAGCACTCTTAGGGAGATGTGGACCATTCTGTACCGAACAAATTTTCGGATGCAAGGAAGGGTCCCTTGTAGAGCAACTACCAAGGGCTCTCATCTTACTTTGCAGCAGTTTGAGATGGATGTGATTATTATTCTCAGTCTTCCAAAGGGCTCAGGGACCAAGAGGCAGGAGTGTTCTGCCACAGTGGGGGCTTGTGCTATTAACATACAGTTCCCATGTTCAGTACCTAGCTACCAAGTGTCAGGGGCTTAATAAACAATGCTGGTGTGTCCTCCTAGTTCTATTGAAAAAGAGGAAAACCAGGCAGTGACACTTAGAAATAGGCTGGTTAAAAAAAAAAAAAAAAAAAACCACAATTACACTTTCTCCTTTCTACAAGAAATGACACCTCAAAACAGCCATTCCCTTTATTTTCTCTAATGATTCAAAATACTAGAACAGGCTAACTTGGCTGTTTTGAATTGGGGGGGGGGAAGTGAAGGGTGAGGAGAGAATACACAGCCTCTGTAGGTAGTACTGCTTCCAACTTCCTATGTTCCAGTGCAGAACCTCTGCCTTAAAAATAATAATAATAATAATAATAATAATAATAATCTGACAACAGAATTCACAGGAAAACCGATTCAAACCTGGCACATCACTGCTTTGGTGATATTGGAATTGAGCAAGTAACTGGAGGCCAAGTGAGGGGGATTAGTGTTTTTCAACCTAATTTGCCACTTAAGAGAGTACTTGGAATCTGAAGAAAGTCTATCCCTACTAAGGAAAGGGACTCAAATTGCATTAAGATTGACTTTGGTTACGAGGAAGGATGGACTATGCTTTTCATCATCAATTGCATCTCTTTGGTTGCCAATAATTCCATTTGTAATCATGGCAGCAGCTTAAGTATCGCCAATGTTTTCAAATGTGTTAAAGCATTAAGGCATCCACATCTAAGGAGGCAGTTTTAAACARGAGGAAAAGGGGACTGAAATGTGGTGAAAAGTGAGCACTGAGATGGCCTCTCCTGGGACCCTGCCTACCACAGGAGCCAGCTCTTCCTCCAGTGAAGGAAGCCTCTGCAATGCTTCTTGGTTCTCTGCTGCCTGAAGATGCATTTGAGCCCTATAAATTCATATGGCTATTTTTGCCTGCTGCCCAGGAGAGAAATGAGTAGTTCCTGAGGCAGCAGCTTTAGGATCTGGGAAAGCTCACGGCTTCTGAAAGCTTGTTAATGTGGAGATCCAGAGGGGAAGGCAAATCTGGAAGTTCAATGGTTCAACCCTTGCCATAGTTCAAGGCCCTATCGAGCAAGATAAGTCTAGCCAAACTTTCAAGCATGATGGCAAGGCACTGCTGAAAGGCTTTGGCCAGCAGAACAAATTTCGGACCAYTGCACACAATATGATAGGAATCATTTCCATCCAAATCAGACACAGSAATCTACTATTTATTTGATCTCTAATTTTCTAGAGAAAATCACAGCAGCCATACTTTGGAAGGACCAGATGAGACCCTGGGCCTTTCCCAAGCCAGCTGCTATCATATCTCATTGGGAAAGTCCTCCAGCCCTTCAATAGTCTATCYGCTCCCAGATTTTAACACTGTATGCAATGGCTGCCAGCCACTACACAAAACCCTATCCTACATAGGCTACTTTCTTCACTGAAGCCAGCAGAGGGCTTACAAGTTTAATTCCATGGCTGCTGACTCAGTGACAAATCTAGGAAAGAAATAAAAAAGAAAGAGAAAGAAAGAAAGAAAGAAAGAAAGAAAGAAAGAAAGAAAGAAAGAAAGAAAGAAAGAAAGAAAGAAAAGAAAAGAAAAGAAAAGAAAAGAAAAAGAAAAAAGATCACAGGCATGCTGGCTTATGTGTCATATAAAACATTTTTACAAAATGATTAAATACCCTGCCCTGAAGAAACTAGTCTTGGTTCCGTCTTAATGTAATATTTTGAAATGGTACAGAAAATCAAAATAAATTAATAATACAGTATTATACACTCATTTGACAAAACGGTTTATGCAGATTTTGGCAAATATGGAAAATAACCTTAGTTTGTTAAACACTTTGAGTCATTTCAGTTGTTTAAATTATCAGAATATTAGTGATTGTGTCAATTCACATAAGGAAGTGCTATTTTGAGGTTTAACAAAGCTGCATTTGACACAAAGGTAACATCTTTGAAGGGAATTAAAAATAGAGACAATATTATCTTCATCATCACAGTTCAAGAAGTGGTTGTCTTGATGAGAACTCATTTCACACAAGTATTAACATCGCCACCAGCAGTAAGCAGCAAACTGTGGGGAGGAGGGTCTGGAGGAAAAAGTTAGGAGAAAAGCACGGGAAAGATGAAGACAAAAGAGACATGATTTCAATAAGCTTTAAACCAACAGGCAGACACTTCCCACTCATGAGTCAGCTAGACTTTCTTCACGCTATAGGTGCTTATGTGAGCAGACAGACCGCTCTCCACGCTGGATAAAGGCTTAGCCAGAGGGACTGCTGACCTGCTAAAAGAAATACTTAAAGAAAGAAAGAAAGGACAACACAGATTTTGGTAGTCTTACTTTTCAAAAGTTCACTACAAAGATGTCAACAATTATTCAAATTCACTTAAAATGTAGCATCTCTTAATTTCCAAAAATCCTTTGTGATCAGACTGTTCTTGAAGGACAGGCTATGCCTGAACTTACTAGAACTTCACCTCTCTATAGGAATGTGCTGGAGACAGGTATTTTGCAAAAGAAACTTCAAAATGCTACAAAATACCAGTCACCCTTAAAAAGCTAGTCTCACCTCTGCAGCTCCACTGGATGGAATGGCAGGCTGTATTTAGAGGCACGTGCAAAGGAGGTGTTTAAGTCTCTCTAGAAGTACCCTCTCAAAGAATATCTCTTTCTAGGATAAGGTCAGCTTTCAATGTGTTTTGCCCTTACCTTCCTTATTCCAATCTCAAATTAACTACAATCACCTTTAGCATCTAAGACAGTGGGTGCTATGAGCTCCTATCAAGGCATGTGGCATAGATGCTAAAGCACCATTCGTACACGGTGAAAACCATGTGAAAAATCAAGGGGTAAAGTGGCAGAGCCTCTAACTAAGAGATTAAGCTTAATTACAGAACACTGTGTTCTCATAATTACTATTTCATTATGAGTATGCAGTTCTCCACTTTTCCTTAAAACTAAATTTCATCTTCCCTGAGAGTAGGGTTAAGAGAAACATCAAAACTCAATATGCCAAGGGCCCTTTAAAACACAACACAAGCCTATACCTAACCACAATGTGTTGTTCCTACTTTAAAAGCTTTTCCATTACCCCAGGATGGAATCTCACCTCCCTCCGGACTCTAGGAACACAGGTGGAGATGGGCAAGGCGAGACAAGAGACTGAGGAAGTGAGTAGCTGTCATGTTTCCGCTGATCTCACTGGATGGCAAATGGCCGCTGACTGAGGCTGGAACCTGAACATTTAATGCTGGTGTCCTACTGACAGGATGAGTGGGATGATGCAACCCAGAACCAAGGCTGCCACCTCCAGGCGGCTGAGGCCTCTCCCTCCAGTGGCATCAGGCTTGTGGCTATGCCCCATTCCGCCCACCTCAGGAAGGACGTGTACTGTGGCAACATAAAGAAATGTCCCAGCAGAGAAAAGCATGGCCACTCCGGTGGCATTGACCTCTGAAAGGGCTTCTTTACTGCTCTGTGAATTAAAACAGAGAGGCAAAATTAAGTAAAATTCAGAGTCAGGAAAACGACCCAATTAAAAAACATTCAAAATTCATGTCTGGTGCTCCTAGGACACTGGGAACATCTTGAGAGCAAAGTAACTCTATTTCATTTATAAGGAGCTTCCAAATAGGGTTTAGTAATAGTAAGATCAATGGTGTAAATAATAATAACAATAATTTTTTTTAGAGAGAGAATTTTTTAATATTTATTTTTTAGTTTTCGGTGGACACAACATCTTTATTTTATTTTTATGTGGTGCTGAGGATCGAACCCAGCGCTCCACGCATGCAGGCGAGTGCGCTACTGCTTGAGCCACATCCCCAGCCCAGTAAATAATTATTTTAAAAAATTTATTATAAATTCACATTTTATTTTTTTAAAATATTTGTTTTTTTAGTTTCAGATGGACACAATATCTTTATTTTATATTTATGTGGTGCTGAGGATCGAACCCAGCGCTCCACGCATGCAGGCGAGTGCGCTACTGCTTGAGCCACATCCCCAGCCCAGTAAATAATTATTTTAAAAAATTTATTATAAATTCACATTTTATTTTTTTAAAATATTTGTTTTTTTAGTTTCAGATGGACACAATATCTTTATTTTATATTTATGTGGTGCTGAGGATCAAACCCAGTGCCTCATGCATGCAAGGCTAGTGTTCTACCACTGAGCCACAACCTCAGCCCGACAATTTATAATTATAAATATTTACAAGATACAAAGTAATGTTAGGATTTATGAGTACAATGTGGAAAACTTAAATCAAGCTGATTATCATATCCATTACCTCAAATACTTAAAAAATTTTTTTAAATATTTTTTTTTAGTTGTAGACAGACACAACCTGTATTTTATTTATTTTTATGTGGTGCTGAGACTTGAAGCCAGTGCCTCACATATGCTAGGCAAGCGCTCTACCACTGAGCCACAATCTCAGCCCTCAAAAAGACTTTTTTTGCAGTGAGAATACTTGAAATTTACTAGTGATTATGGAAGTATACTATTATTAGCTAAATTCACTATGAATGCTTTTCAAAACAAACATCAAGTGCTGATTACCAGGTTTTGCCTGCATTATTCTTGAGACAGAACCAACAAGAAGTTAATGTAGATATTAAGTTTCAGACATTTGTTCATTTTATTAATATTTTTATTATTATTATTATTTGTTCATTCTACTAATATTTAAAAAGTATTCTCTGTGTTTCAGGCTCTGGGCCAGGTGCTTGAGATAAAGTGGCCATTAAGATGCAGGAAACACCTTCACCCAGCTTAGAATGGTCTCATTTACCTAACTTCATATAACTGATTTCAACCTTTTCTATGAAAAAGGACCTATAGGTTAAAAATGATTAATTAAAATCGTAAGAAAAGAACCTGCCACAGATTCAGCATTTAACTCTATCCCTTCAGAATTATCAGTACCTTCTTATAAAAAGTTCAGAGCTTATATTGATGGATGAAGTGATAGTCATATTTTAGAAGGAACCATGTAACCAGACACATCACATGCCTATAATCCCATCAGTTCAGAAGGCTGAGGCATGAATATCACAAGTTCAAGGCCAGTTTGGGCACTTAGTTAGACCTTCCCTCAAAATAAAAAAGAAAAAGAACTGGGGATGTAGCTTAATAGTAGAGTGTCGCTGGTCCAATTCCCAATTACCAACCAATAATAACAACAATAATAATTATAACAAATAAAATATAATTAAAGGAACTATGTATTGTTCATTGGCTAAAAAAATAAGGTTCTTCAGGTGAATGGAAAGAAGTTTAATAATGACTCATTTGTTAGCAACTGAGATCAACAAACCCTTAATGAATAGAAACTTAACCATTTTTTAACCATCTCATTTTTCATGTTCCTTTTAATACAGGTTTTAATATATTAAATACAGAATCAATGACCTTCAGAGAGGGCATGGAGAAAAGCAGTTTCCCTGAACAAGTCCTGGCCCAGTTTAGTTCTGAGACTTTCACCTGTAGCCTGCCAGTTGACATTTGGGTGAAGCAGGGAGGGTTGTTGCTAAGAACTGTAGCCCAACTAGAAAGAATTATGAGGCACAGAAAGGTGCAGCTTGGAAATGGAAGGGTGTCCAGACTCTGAGCTGACAAATGACATAGGTCACTGCAGGTCTGAATGAGAAAGGACTAGCTATTTACTATTGAGTGATCTGAGAGTGGGAGTAGAAGAATCTGAGTGTTTGCTGACTATAGCCAACTTGCTCACCCTCTGCTCTTTTAAGGGCTGCCACATAGCTTGTCACACAATGATATGACAGAAATTATTTCCATCCAAACCAGACACAGCAATCTACTATTTGTTTGATCTCTGATTTTCCAAGAGAATCACARCAGCCATACTTTGGAAGGACCAGATGAGACCCTGGGCCTCTCCAAAGCCAGCTGCTATCATCTCATCGGGAGAGTCCCCCAGCCCTTCCCTACTCTACCCGCTCCCAAATTTTAACACTGTATGCAATGGCTGCCAGCCACTATACAAAACCCTATCCTACATAGGCTACTTTCTTCACTGAAGCCAGCAGAGGACTCACAAGTTTAATTCCATGGCTGCTGACCCAGTGACAAATCTAGGAAAGAAGTCARAAAGAAATTAAAAAAATAAAAGAAAGAAAAAGAGATCACAGGCATGCTGGCTTACGTGTCATATAAAACATTTTTACAAAATGATTAAATCCCCTGCCCTGAAGAAACTAGTCTTGGTTCCATCTTAATGTAATGTGCCAACCTCAACATTCATTGAGGTACTTCAACATTCATTGTGGATGGTTGTGACTTACTGTAAATCTAAAAATAAAATAGGTATGGCTGGTTAAGTTATATTATTTATTGTTTTACCTTTATTTTTATTTGTTTTTATTTTTATGTGGTGCTGAGGATCGAACCCAGTGTCTTGCACATGCCCGATGAGCACTCTATCGCTGAGCCACAACCTCAGCCCCAAGTTATATTATTTTGGTGAAGCAGGGAGGGTTGATGCTAAGAACTGTAGCCTAAGTAGACAGAATTATGAGGCACAGAAAGGTGCAGCTTGGAAATGGAAGGGTGTCTAGACTCTGAGCTGACAAATGACATAGGTCACTGCAGGTCTGAATGAGAAAGGACAGATATTTACTATTGAGTGATCTGAGAGTAGGAGTAGAAGAATCTGAGTGTTTGCTGACTATAGCCATCTTGCTATGGCCATAGTCTTGAAGTTCTTTCATATATCTGTGTAAATATTCTTAGAACTTACAAAAGAAGTCTTCAAAGTGAACCAATAAGGAAATGTTGAACTTAAAAAGAGGACTGACTTGGAATTAAGACACTTTACCTTATATAGGTTTTTATTCCTAATTTTTATCTTTAGTTGGAGAAGGTAATTATTTGAAAATTTTGACATAAGAGACCATAAGTTTCTAGTAGATCATAAGGGAACCAGACACTTGTCTAGAAAAATCTAGGAATGGTCAAACTTACCTTGCTTAGGCCTAAGTATGTCACCATGGACATAACTGGTGCTGCCAGTGCAAAGACCAGCAAGTGCTTTCTGATTCGATTCCGTTCCAGACCAGCATGCATTAAGAAGGAAACCAGTCCAAAAGCTGCTGGTGCCTAGAAATGAAAAATTATCCCTTATCATCATTCTGGAAATGTGGATTGCTTCTCCATCAAAAAGTACATCCAGCTGGGCACAGTGGCACATGCCTATAACCCCAGCTACTCAGGAGGCTGAGGCAGGAGGATTGCAAGTTCAAGACCAACTTTAGCAATTAGTGAGGCTCTAAGCAATTTAGTGATATCCTGTTTCAACATAAAAAATAAAAAAGCTATGAAACACACACACACACACACACACACACACACACACAAAAAAAAAAAAAAAAAAAAAAAGCACAGAGGAGTGAGGTGGTGGTTCAAGCCTGTAATCCCAGTCTCTCAGGACTCTGAGGCAGGAGGATTGCAATTTCAAGACCAGTCTCAGCAACTTAATCAGACCCTTAGCAGTTTAGAGAAGATCCTTGTCTCAAAAAATAAAAAGGGCTGGGGATGCAGCTCAGGGGTAAAGCTCAGTATATAGGGTTCAATCCTTGGTATATTAAAAAAAAAAAAAGTACATTGCCATCGTCTAGGAAGTCTCTTACCAAAAGCCTAGGCAGAGTACCTGAGCTCTGCCTTTTAGGAATTAACATTCTAAGCTAAGAAAAGATCCTACAAAAAAAAAAAAAAAAAATACGAACAAAATTCTATAAAATATGGGCTGGGGTTGTGGTTCAGTGGTAGAGTGCTTGACTAGCATATGTGAGGCACTGGGTTGGATTCTCAGCACCACATATAACAAATGAATAAAAATAAAGGTCTGGGGCTGGGCCTGTGGCTCAGTGGTAGCACACTTGCCTGTCATGTATGAGGCACTGGGTTTGATTATCAGCACTATATATAAATAAATGAAATAAAGGTCTATTAGCAACTAAAAAAAATTAAAGGTCTGTCAACAACTAAAAATATATATTAAAAAATTTAAAAAATTCTATGAAATATAGAGATCTATAGAGAATTTAATAGTTTGTGTATATGGTCACAAAAACATAAAACCCTATAAGTAAGACTTTTTAAAAAATGGTAGCCAAAAAAATAGGTTTAAATAGATTTATTCAATTCTCCAAAATGAAACTAGCTCAAAAAATATTTTAGTTAGGAAACTAAAAAAGAATTTTGAAGTTAGGAAACTAACTAAAAACATTTACCTACTTCAACAAAACATTAAAGACCAAGAGAAATTTTAACTATGCATATATTCAAAATCAAATCTTGGCTTACCTTATGTAGCATTATTGCCACAAACACAATTAACTGGACACTAGTCTGTGAAGTAGAAGCTGCTGCTCCCAAAGCAACACCATCAGCTAAATTTGGAAACAATGAAACATAAAATGCTATAAAAAACATCAATAACAGCTAGAGGCTGAGTATGTGGGCTTTAGCCATGGATTTGACTCTAGGAAGATTACCCAACCTTTCTTTAACCTTCTCATCTTTAAAAATGGGTTCAATAAAGTATGTATTTCTCGGGATTTTCACAAAATTAAATGAGTGAATATATGTACAAAGCTTAACTTTGGGTCCAGAGTATTCAAATATCTGTTAAYTGCAATAACAAAAATGCAAGAAGAATTTCAAAGGATGCATCTCTTCATCTTATAGATAAAGACCTTCAAACTTGACCTAGATGATTTAAACATGGGTATATTGGCTAGTGGATGAATTTTGTTAGAAAAGTATGTCATACCAGAAACGCTTAGATATTTTCACATTTCTGTATTTGTTGTTGACAGAATCCTACCACTAGGGCTAGGTTTGGGTTATGGTTCTGAAGTGTGCCCAGTAGCAATGCTGTGACTTCTGCATGCCACCTACCACCTCTGCCTACACTGGCACTTTGGATATACATTGGGCAGCAGGGTTACTCAGTACAATAGTGTCAAGGCTCTTTTCCAGAAAAGATCCTAAGGCAGAGGTCAGCAAACTTCATAAAGGGCCAGAGAATAAATGTTTTAGGCTTTGCCAGTCATTTGGTTTCTTGTAACTACTCAACCCTGTTAGCGCTGTGCAAAAATTGCCACAGAAAATACATAAACATGAAGGCACGGCTGTGTTCTAATACAACTTTATTGAATTATATAATTTTCATACGCTATGAAGTATTCTTTCCTTTTTAACCATTAAAAAACGTTTGAGAAATCATTCTTAGCTTGTAAAACCAACACAGGATAGACCAGGGCTCATACTTGTGCTGGAGGACTTCATTAAGCAACCCCATCCCTGAAGGCCAGCCCAAGAGCACTGAGTACAGATGGGCCCAGTAAACAGGAAGGAGAGAGGTCCCGCTGCAGTCCAACCCTACCTGCAGCATGGACGACCAGACCAAGTGTGGTGGTGATTTTGGAACTGCTAGGCCTTCCTGTTTCTGGATCTGTAGTGAAAATGAGAAGGACAACATTAAATAATGAGAGACAGAAACTACCCAAACACTAGTCTGGGGGTGGATGAATTTTTTTGAAAGCTTCTGAAGTCATAAGTTATAGTCCTTACAACTGTCTTCTTTCTTCCTGCTTCAAACACCTGGAGGTTTCCCCCAACTGCCCAAACTTCTTCACACTCCTTTAACTCCACCACTCCATGGAAAGCGCTCTGTGACCTCTGATGGCTTCTTTCCACAACCATCTAACTGTCATTGTTTACCACTTCATCTTCCCGGGCCTTCTACAACTTTATCTTCACTATTACATCGTCACATTTGCTCTATTTTATCACCACTACCCTAACCTAAATTTTCATCAACTCAAACCTACATATGCAATAGGCTCCCACTGGTTTTCCCTTCCTTTCATTTTCCCCTCATCAAATTTATCTCAAACATTTATTTCAGAATCATCTTTTGAAAATATTATGTTGTGTCCATTAATTATTTAGAACATGCTGGGTTTTAACTTTTATAGCAAAGGTGAAATTGTTTATTTTTTATAGTGTTTTATTTATTGAAATTGTTTGTTTTATAGAGAGCTTTTTAAAATAACTGTAGGGGCCAGGGGTAGAGCCTAGTGGTAGAACAGAAGCCTGAGTTTGGTCTGCAGCACCACAGAACTAGAATGTCTCTCCTCCACTTCTTCACTTCATAGCTTTCTAGTCCTTTTAGGCTTTTCTCAGTCACTCTCTCCTCAACCAAAACTCTAAACTCCTGCAGAAGAGTTTCCACCCATGTCTCCGCCACATCCCACATGTCAATAGTTGGGTAAAAATTGAAAAAAAAAATCTTATACCACCCCTATTTCCCAAGGACTTCAGTAGGGATTTGTTGTTATTTCTGTAGTATTGGGAATTGAAAGCAGAGCCTCCTACATGCTAGGTATTCTCACTTAAAAAAAAAAAAAATTGAGGTAGGGTCTCACCAAGTTGCTAAGGCTGTCCTTGATTTTGTGATTCTCTTACCCTAGCCTCCTGAGTCATTGGGATAACAGGCATGCACCACCTCACCTGGCAAAACTATCATGACTTTTAGAACCAACTTTGTTATTTCCCCAACTTGTTCTTTGGATCATGAATTCATATACAAAGTATCAGAAAGAACAACAACAACAACAAAAAAAAAAAACTGTGAAGAAAACAAGAATATTTCCCTTCGGAAAGATCAGCTAAATGTGAAAATATCAAACTGTTCTCTACCTATCCTTAGGTTGGGTGACTTCACTGCAGTGGCTCAGGAAGGGTCAGACTCCCTCATTCCAAATCAACCCCATCACAGAACACCTGTTGCCAAGTAGCAAGCCAGAGGTTTAGACTGGATGCCCCATAAAAGACAACTCTGAAAGCATTCCAACCTCTGAACTCTGTGAAAGAAAATATTATTTTTGCTGTGCTGGGGGCTGGAATCAGGGCTTTTCACGTGTTAGTGAGTACTCTACCACTGAGCTACATCCCTAGTCTCCCAATTTCTCTTGAGACAAGGTCTTACTATATTGCCTAGGCTGGTCTCAAACTCCTGCACTCAAGTGGTCCTCCTGCCTCCCAAGTGGCTGGAACTACAGGTGTGTGTTACCATGTCCAGGTTAAAAAAAAAAAATCTTAATTTGAATGTGACAAAATGAGTGCTTTGGGGGCTGCTACATATCCATATTCTGCAAAACAGCTCAAGGACAAAAAAGGCAAATTATTGCTAAAGGGTGCACCGCACAGCACAGTCATACCCAGATGTAACTGCTTCCCGTGGCATGCTTCCTCCCTGTCTCCTGGGTTAAGCACAAGGATGCCAAGGCTCTCTCACAGTTATTAGCACTCTCACCCTTTCTTTAATAATTTAAAACAAAGACACTGATCTGGCTTAATTCTTCCTTTTACATCTAGGTAAGACTATTCTTTCCCTATTCAAGTTTTCTATGTTCTACTTTGGTTTCAAAAACTACAAACACACTGAAATTAAAATATGAAATGTTACTAACTAAAAATAATGTGGGGTCCCAAAACCACAGTATGAGATAGTCAACAGAGTGGCTTATATAATACCCCACCTCATCCTTCCCAGCAGCATGCTTAGGGAGTCACTGCAAGGCTGCTCTAGATTTACATGGTCAATATGGTCTAACAGTCACATGTGAAAAAGCCACCTAAACCCACACCAAGATGGGCTGTCCACTCCAAGGAAGCCCAGATGTCTTTTGCAATCGAGTTTCTGTGCAAGGCAGACTCAGCCCCTGGGACGATGGTGTGCTGGGGAAATGATTCCCCTGAGAAGCTAGGTGAAGTTAGGAGACTAATATTGAAAACTGTGCTTTGTCTGGATATCTTCAAGAATCTGCTCCAGTTCCTCATCTTCAAATTGCCCCTCCAGGCTTGGGATAAGAGCCTTGGACTCCTCAGCAGTCTTTGGACAAAAGTTGGCCAAACAAACCAACTCAAACTTATACAGCTTTTTCTGGAGCAGCAAGCTACAGACACTGGCATTGGTCTTTCTGTTTTTGAAATTACTGAGACAGGAAGTGTAATGTAAAGTTTTCATGAAGACTCCTCAGAGTACCTACTCACCCTCTGCACTCTCGTTCTTTTTTTTTTTTTAATTTATTTGTAGTTGTAGATGGACAGAATGCCTTTATTTTATTTGTTTATTTTTATGTGGTGCTGAGGATCGAATCCAGTGCCTCAAGCATGCTTAGGTAAGCGCTCTGCCATTGAGCTACAGCCCCAGCCTTCATTCTGTTGCTTTTGATGCTCCAGAAGCAAATGAATTTAGACGAGTCTTGGCTGTTCTGAACTCTTTGGGACAGATCAGCTCTGAGGTGTCTTCTATGTGGCCCGCCCAATCACTGCAACTGTCACCATCATTGTGCCACATACTCTAAGAATCTACTGTTTTTCAAAAGCTGTCTGAAGTGCTCTATTAGGTAGGCTCTTAAGCCATTTACCAACCAATGCCACCATATTTCTCACTCCAGACCAGTTAAATCAATGTCTTTAACACCCTCTAACAAAACATTCTCATTCATTCTCCTTCCCCAAATCTCCTTACCCCCACCCTTTTTTTTTTGGCACAAGGGACTGAACCCAGGGGTGTTTCATCACTGAACTACATACATCCCCAGCTCTTTTTTATATTTTATTTAGATACAGGGCCTCACTGGGTTGCTGAGGCCCTTGCTAAGTTGCTGAGGCTGGCTTTGAACTTGTGATCCTCCTCCAGCCTCAGTCTCCTGAGCTGCTGGGATTACAGGCATGCGCCACCGCACCCAGCCTCACCCTTAATTCTGGACATGTACTCTTGTCAACCCAAAACATAGACACATTCCAAGTCTAATTCTAAGACCACCTCCTTCAAGAAAGGACAAAAGATTAGTCACAACTCAAAGCAACTTTCCTCTTGCTCCAACCTAAGGTTTCTACGCAGCCCAGATCCACATGTGACTTCAGAGGTTCTTCTGTATCCCCACTCAGACACCCAAGACCACTTTCACTTAACTATGTCTTTCCATCCCCAGATTGAATGTAACTAATAAAGAACATATTTTCTACTTCTTTCTCTTTTTAACATGTCTCACAGCACTGAGTACACAAAAGTTGCAAGTATTTATCTGTATCACAGAGACCACATTTGCCTTACACTCTTAGGCTTATAAATTTTAAATTGAAACTGTCAAGAAATATAAGAAAAACACCACAGTGGCCATTGTGAGCAAATACGTAATGTAGTCAGAGTGGGACATCATCCAACAGTGGGTACTTTTCATTTGCTATTTGAAATAAAGCACATGAATAAAACCATTTTAAACTATATCAACTTTTTAAGACAATATTTTATTTTTAATTTATTATTATTATTTTTATTTTGGGGATTGAATCCAATAGTGCCTTACCACTGAGCCATGTCTCTAGCCTTTTTTTTTTTTTTTTTTTGAGACAGGGTCCCACTAAGTTGCCAAGGCTGGCCTCAAACTTGCAATCCTCCTGCCTTAGCCATCTGTCACTGGGATTATAGGCATGAGCCACTGCACCCAGCTAATATTTTATTTTTAAATATGCTTATGGCAAAAACAGGAGAACAAAAAGATTGAAAACCTTTTTGGACCAAAGGTGCTTTTTGTTTTACGTTGCTTAATATTGGGGATTGAAGTCAGGACCTCTTGCATGCTAATAAGCATGTACTCACTCTACCACTAAGCTACATTCTCAGCTCCACCTTGACTTTTAAAAATCTTTATTTGAAAATTAACTTCAAACTTTCAGAAAAGTTGTGAGAGTAATTTAATATATATCCATAGAACCCTTTCTCAGCTTGACCACTTGCTTTATTACTTTTGTGTTTGCTCATATACRCAAATCTTTTCTGTACCATTTAAGAGAAAGTTACATATACCATAACCCTCTATCCCCAGATACTTCAATGTGTATTTTGAGAGAGGAAGGATATTATCTTATATAACCTTAGCAAGTTTAACATTGATACTTTTTAGAAAGTCTCTTGCATATTCTAATTTTGTCAGTTGCCCAATAATGTCCTTCAGGACATTCTTCCTTTCCAGGAAGGATCCTGTCTAGAATTACATATTGCATTTATGTGATACTGACATTTCTGGAAATTTCTGGAAATTTCAAGAAAATACATTACTCTTCTTGTACTTTTTTTAAAAAAAATTTTAGGTGTTGAAGAACCTCTATTTTATTCATTTATTTATTAACAATTAACCCAGGGTCTCACACATGCTAGGCAAGCACTCTACCACTGAGCCACAACCCCAGCCCTAGTACCTTTCTTGTATGTAACAGAATAACCCTTCTTTCAGATTTGTCTGAATGTGTTTTTTAAAAAAATATTTTTATTTGTAGATGGACACAATATCTTTATTTTTATGTGGTGCTGAGGATTGAACCCAGTGCCTCACACCTGCAAAGCAAGTGCTCTATCACTGAGCCATAACCCCAGCCCCCTGATGTGTTCTTTGAATCTATATTCTTAGATAGAATACTACATAGGTGAGGCTTCTCAGGGTATTAGTCTAAAGCAGGATATACAACTGCTGTGCACTTGTGGTGTTAATTTTGGATTGTAGATCAAACACTGTCAGTATTATCTCATGTACACTCTGGATTTTGTTATATTCCTCTAAAGAATTTTTGTTTCATTTTAAGTAACCTGATTTGGCTCAAACTGCAAATACTGTCTTTTGAGCAGCTGTTCAAATAACAGTTTAGTTCTTTGATCTTTAGCTCAGCTGCTGGGAGTCTGCCCATGTAAGAATGGTTCAGTGGCCAGCCAGAAACTTGAACAGTTTATGTATACAGAATTTGAGGATGAGTTTCTTTGGTTCTCACCTTTCTAGTATTCTCTCTTTTTTTCCAGTGCTTGTGGTTGTCTTGAATTCTGTCCTCTAGTTCTGTAGGCCAGAATGATTGAGTTTTCTATTAGAATTTTAGCTGCCTCACAGGATGCTCACTGTTAAAAGTAGTAAAAACAGTAAACTTATTCTAAGTGTTGACTCTACTTTCCTCCAAAATGTACGTGCTTTAGGATATTCACTAATTTTTTTTATTATTTATTTTTGGGTACTAGGGATTGAATCCAGGGATACTTTACCACTGAGCTATAACCTAGTCTTTTTTATTTTAAATTTTAAGACAGGGTCTTGCTAAATTGCTGATATTGTCCTTGAACTTAGGATCCTCCTGCCTCAGCCTCCATGCCTGGCTCCAAAGTGTTTAAGGCTGTGATTTTATGAATTTTGTCTAGAGTTTATACTTTATAGTTATTTATAAGGAAGCAGGTCTGATAGCTTACTCAGCTACACCAAAAAGGAGAAWGCTGGTGATACTATTTTGATTATCTGGTTAAAGTATTGTTTGATTTCTTCACTTAGTTACTACTTTCCCCTTGTAACTAATAAGCAAATCAAAATTCACCTCCTAGATTTAACATTCATTGATGATTCTTACTTGAGTCAACTTTTACAATGAAGGTTACAAAAATGATAGTTTTTCCAATTCCAGCACCTTTTCCAAATTTACCAATTGGCATTCAGCAATCTACTGCAAGCCAGTACACTCTCTTCTCCTTTGATCTATTATGTGGATGGGGCTCACAGATTCCTATTTTTTTTTTTTTGACGGCTTATATTTCATTATTGTTCTTTATTTTAGTGGTCAAATTATTATGCATCAGAATCCCCCCCCTGCCTTTCTTTGTGGTGCTAAGGATTGAACCCAGGGCCTTGTGCATGCAAGGCAGGCACTCTACCAACTGAGCTATATCCCCAGCCCTCCCTTTTTATTTAATATAAACCATATCAAAGATGCTGATTTAGTCAAAGATGAATTCATTGATCATAACAAAAAAAAGTTACTATGGGTGGAATTAAATTTACAAAGTCTTTGCAAATTCTAGTTGTTCTTAAAATAAGTTTATCTTTCCTTGTAAAGAATGTATTTAAGTACATTTATAAGAAAGTACTTTGTAAACCAGGATTTTCTATATTAGCAACTACTAAAATGAAAACACAAAATCAACTGGATGTTCAACTTGACAAACACACTGCCTTGATAACGATCACCTCACCATTTAATGTTCTTAATCCAGCTATTGCTTATTATAGCTATTAGCTATCATACTAATGTCCAAAAAAAAAAAAAAACAAAATTAAACTGATGGATATGGTGACGCACAATTGTAAATTCAGCTACTCAGGAGGCTGAGGCAGGAGGATTGAAAATTTGAGKCCAGCCTGGGCAACTTAGTGAGACCCTACTTCAAAATAAAATAGAAAAAGGGATGGGATGGCTCAGTGGCAGAGCACCTGGGTTCAATCCTCAGTACCACAAAAAATAAAAATAAAAAAAATTTTAAAAATTAAACTTGCTTAGTCAGGATTTCAATGTATAATCTTATTATTTAATGCACTGAGAAAGAAGATACACAACTCTATATTATGAATTTGTTCCAAAGGTTTAGTAACTATTTTCCAACATAATTGATTTTCTCTCTAGTCTTGAGTACTATGCTTTTTGCATTTAAAAACAATATTACAGGCCTGGGGATGTGGCTCAGTGGTAAAGCGCTCGCCTAGCACGTGCGAGGCCCTGGGTTCAAGCCTCAACACCACATAAAAATAAATAAAATAAAAGTATTGTGTCCGACTACAACTAAAAAATAAATATTTTTTAAAAAAACAATATTCCAATAAAAGGTCCATCGGCTTTAAACTGTTTAAGGGGTCACAGCATAAAATAGGTTAAGAACCTCTGTCCTAGACTCTCAACCGAAAGCAATACTACAACTCACTAGCTCCCCCAACTGAATAAAAAATATTCCCTGGCACCAGAGACAGTTGGTTTTAGTACTTAAGTAAGACCAATAACTCGGATTGAATATTCAATTGTTAGTAAGCTTTCAAACTGCAAATTTATCATGCTGTCCAGGAAGCCCTGGAGCCACTCACCTTCACTAGCATGAACATGGGAGTTGCCAATCTGGTCCACCAGCAACATAAAAACGAAGCCCAGTACAAGGGACACACCGATGTAGGCGTGCAGCTGCGTGTGGTTGTGGCTGTGCTCATGTTCATGCACAGCTGACATTTCGGCTTTGTCTGATGCAATCACATTCTGTGTTTCACTGGCTTGGTGGTGTTTTCCTAGGGCAAAATAAACCATGAGGAGGATACGTTTTTCCCTTAAAAACATTTTCATGTAGAAGCTTCCTTCTTTGGTATTTCTGTCACAGGAGTAGGGAGCTTAAGCTCCATTCCTTGATTCTTGAGTTCCAATGAAAGAAACTTGAAAGTCAGACATGAAAAGCCAAGCAACAAAACTTCATTGTAAGTGAAAGTAAAGTAAGGCTCAAGCAAAAAGCGCTCTGAAGAGGGACAGTGGGTAGTCTCTGAGAGGATAATGACAAAGAGTGCTGTTTTCAAATTTATTGCTGTTCAAAGTTTGCCTAGAGAACTGGGGTCCAACTGCTGCCCTCTTCACCAATCAGATGTTCAATTTCTCCTTCATGTTGAGCAGTAGTTTTTGACCCTAGTTGGTCCTCTCTGGAAYAGTCATGGTGGTCATCCTATTCAGGGGGGCTTCACCTACAAGTTAAACCTATGTTAATGTGGGTACTGGAGTCAGTGGCCAGACAGAATTTACCTTAGTGCACTTGCACTACCAAAAAAATTTCTCTTCTGAAATTTGAGAAACCTCTGGCCATAAATCCTGACTCTATGATGACCTCTGAGATTCTATCAAGAGTTCATCCAATTAATTGATCTTGCTTTCCTGATATATTTCTTAATTGACTCCCTTTGTCTCTACCTATTTATTCTAGAGAGTTGGTACACCTGCTGTTGCTCTACAAGTTACTTAACTATTCATTAAAGCCAATTTCAAAGAAACCCTGTGACCCTGCTATGTTACTGGTTTACATTTCACTGCTCATTGCCAACTACTACCTAATGTTTCCCTCCTCAAGAAGTGGACATCCTAAATAATTTCAAACTCTACATACTTCACTGTAAAGCTATTCACTTTCTACATTGTAATCCAGCCAATCATAAACTCCCTCAACTTAAGTTAATGATGAAAACATTCTGCTTTTGACATGCAGACCTTCTGAGTGTCTATCATGCTCAAAACCTGGGAAGTGGAAGCAAATCACCATGCAAGAAAGCAGTCGTATTCCCACAGGGACATCACCTGCAAATCTTTCTTTTTGTCTCTGATATTTATGTAAATCTCCTTAGGAAATACATGAAGTTTTATTCTGATTAATTTAGGTGAATGAAGAGCAGGAACAATGAAAGTAACTAGATGAAACAATGAAAGTAACTAGATGAACTAGTTTTACACCTAGAGTAATATAAAAATTATAAACAAAGAACAAATTAAATATAAAATTTTTAGCTGTAAAAAATATTGGTGGACAATCATTAACAAGAAACCAAAAGGATAGAGCAGTTAAAGAAGCACATCCTTCAGTCTACATTCAGTTCTAGAAATATCAAGGTTATTGGGACACTGAATTTTTTTTTATTGGTTGTTCAAAACATTACAAAGCTCTTGACATATCATATTTCATACATTAGATTCAAGTGGGTTATGAACTCCCATTTTTACCCCAAATACAGATTGCAGAATCACATTGGTTACACATCCACATTTTTACATAATGCCATATTAGTAACTGTTGTATTCTGCTGCCCTTCCTATCCTCTACTATCCCCCCTCCCCTCCCCTCCCATCTTCTCTCTCTACCCCATCTCCTGTAATTCCTTTCTCTCCTTGTTTTTTTTTTCCCATTCCCCTCACAACCTCTTATATGTAATTTTGTATAACAATGAGGGTCTCCTTCCATTTCCATGCAATTTCCCTTTTCTCTCCCTTTCCCTCCCACCTCATGTCTCTGTTTAATGTTAATCTTTTCCTCCTGCTCTTCCTCCCTGYTCTGTTCTTRGTTGCTCTCATTATATCAAAGAAGACATTTRGCATTTGTTTTTTAGGGATTGGCTAGCTTCACTTAGCATAATCTGCTCCAGTGCCATCCATTTCCCTGCAAATTCCATGATTTTGTCATTTTTTAGTGCTACGTAGTACTCCACTTGTATAAATGCCACTTTTTTTTTTTTAATTGGGACACTGAATTATAGTAAATGACACTGGCCAGTCCTAATTTATATCCACATATTTGATACTATGTGAAGATACATTTTGATATTTACATTGACATATTGCTACTCCTAATTTATAGTCACATATTTGACACTTTTAAAACATAAATTTTGGGCTGGGATTATAGCTCAGTGGTTGAGCGCTTGCCTCRAATGCGTTAAGCATTGGGTTTGATCCTTAGCATCACATTAAAAAAAAATAATAAAACAAAGATACTGTGTCCATCTACAACTAAAAAAATGTAAAAAAAAACTTCATTATATTTCATGAATAGAGGCTCTACTATAAGTAGACATTACTTATAATTAAGCAGTTTAATGACCTTTTTTGATCAAAGAAACTACACATTAGTGAACTACTAATGTAAATTACTAATGTTGTAGTCTTTTAATAGTACATTAGATCTCATCTTATTTTATTTATTTATTTTTATACCTTTATTTATTTATTTTTATGTGTTGCTAAGAATCGAATCCAGTGCCTCATAYATACCAGAAGAGTGTGCTACCATTAAGCCACAAACCCAGTGCCCCCATCTTATTTTTGAAAGCCATTTTTGAGCAGTACAAAGCAAATACCATCTGAAGATAATAAAACTCTAATTTTCTACTTCCTGATTTTTTTTTTGTTTTCATGGTTCTTTATTATTTTTACCATTCTTATTGTGATAAATATATAATAAAATTTATCATTTTAACCATTCTTAAGTATTCGGCTTAGTATCATTAAGTTCACTCACACTGTTCTATAACTTTCACCACTATCCATCTATAGATCTTTTTCACCTTTCCTAAGAATTTTTTTTTAATTAGAGAAGGTTTTTTTCCCCAACAATGAATTCACTTACTTGGTTTTTAATTAAGTGTCTGAATCTTTCTTTAAAAAACGAAACTCTACTGAGGTGTAATTTACATACAAAAAAACATGATAAATTTTCCCAAATGTAAAAATCCCCAAGAATTACCACTAGGGCTGGGGATGTGGCTCAAGAGGTAGCGGGCTCGCCTGGCATGCGTGCGGCCCGGGTTCGATCCTCAGCACCACATACCAACAAAGATGTTGTGTCCGCCGAGAACTGGAAAATAAATATTAAAAATTCTCTCTCTCTCTCTCCTCTCTCTCTTTAAAAAAAAAAAAAAAAAGAATTACCACTAAAGTGAAGATAGAGAACATTTAAACAATTCCAAAAAAGTCCTGTTGTGTCCTTCTAAAGTCATTGTGACTCCCAGCCCCAGGCAAGCACCAATCTGTTTTTTGTACCCAGAAAGTTTTCCCTATTCTAGGATTTCCTATCAGTGGAATCCTGCAACACACATACACTCTTTTGTGTAAGACCTTTTTTGCTGAGCATAAAGTTTTCAGGATCATGTGTGCTTTGTGTGTAACAGTAGCTCATTTATCTGTTTCTGCTAAGTAGCCTACTGCTTGCATCTAGCATCACTTGTCTATCCACTCACCTGTTAATAAGATTAGTGTCATATCTAATTTTAACCTATTACAATAAAGTTTCTATGAACATTCAAATACAAGCCTTCCTGCAGAAACATTTTCTTTTCCCTTGGGTGACACCTTGGAGAATTGATGGGTTGTATGTATATTTAACTTGACTTTAAAAACATGTGCCTGTGTATGCCTGTAATCCCAGTGGCTTGGGAGGCTAAAGCAGGAGGATCAAGAGCTCAAAGCCAGCCTCAGCAAAAGCAAGGAGTTAAGCAACTCAGTGAGACCCTGTCTGTAAATAAAATACAAAATAGGGCTGGGGATGTGACTCAGTAGTTGAGTGCCCCTGAATTCAATCCCCAGTACCAAAACAAACAAACAAAAAACCCCAACAGGGCTGGGGATATAGCTAGGTTGGTAGAGTGCTTGCCTAGCATTCACAAGACCCTGGGTTCAATCCCCAGCACCACAAAAAACAAAACAACACAAAAAACTGTCAATTTGTTTTCCAAAGTGGTTGTACTATTTAACCTACCCAATAGCAATGCATGAAGGTTCCACTTGCTCCATATCATGCCAATAGCTGCTAATGTCAGGCTTTAAAATTTTAGACATGTCCCTAGGGCTGTGATTGTGGCTCAGTGGTAGAGCGCTTGCCTAGTATGTGTGAGGCACTAGGTTCAATCCTTGGCACCACATAAAGTGAATAAATAATATAAAGGTATAAAAAAATGTTGTATCTGTTTGAAAAAAAATTTTAAACATGTTTATATACATGATCATGTCATTTGCAAACAGCTTTACTCTTTTCAATCTTTATGCCTATAAAAAGGCCTTATTGAATGCTAGAATCTGCGGGATCCTGAGATAATTCAATAGAAGTGGTTGAGAAGAGAAAACCCTACTTTGTTTCTAATGTTATTTGAACATATTTTTTTCTCAGCTGTAGAAATTTTTTCTTCTTCCCTAGTTTGCTGAAAAGTTTTTTCACCATAGAGTTTTATTTTTGCTAAATGCTTTTCGAAACTGTTAAGGATAATCAAATGGTTTTTCTATTGTACTTGATTTAATAAATTGAATTGGCTTTTGAATACTAATCCAACCCTTGCTTTACCTTCCTGGGATAAACACTATCAGGTCCAAATGTATATCCCTTCATATACTGCTGAACTCCACTTATTAATATTTGGTAAAGGAGGGCTGTTGTATGTAATATCTTTGAGTTATACTGGCACCTTAAAATGACATGAATTGTACTTCCCAAGAGATAGAAAAGCTCCTCTAGCCAATAAGTTTCCATTTCACTGATTCATAATATTAGCTAATAAAGTCTTAAAACTATTAGGTGGTATTTGAAATTGCTGAAATAAGATTTATGACAATGTTTTTTAAACTTTTTTGAGGGGGTACTGGGGATTGAAAGCTGGGGCACTTAACCACTGAGCTACATACCCAGCCCTTTTTATTTTAAGACAGGGTCTCACTAAGTTGTTTAGGGCCTTGCTAAGTTACTGAGGCTGACCTTGAACTTGTGATCCTCCTG